TGGGATGAAAATATAAAAAATTAGGAAACTTTGGCATACACAGTGCGTTTGAAATTAAGGGTAAGTTGATATCAAACTTTAGGAAAATAATACTTATGTATCTATAGCCAGTGACAGCATTGCAGAATGTGGAATATAATGGATTCTCCATTAATTTCCTAGACTCTACCTCATCCAGATTTTCATTTATGTGCCTATCTGATATTAACATATGATCCATATCACTATTATTTCAGTCACTTCCATTCAAGTTCATTATTACTAATGTAGAAAATGCTACAAATCTTAGATATCAAGTCTCTCTTGAGACTAAAATGTACATATTTATATCAACAGCTACTAATAATAAGAATCTAAATTTGAAGGTTTCATAGGTAAGCCTTTCCAAAATGGCCCTGTATGATGTGGTAGGATACTATAAGTTTTTTCCCACAACACATTCTTCTCATATTAATGTTCATCTATAGGGTTGGCAAAAAAATATTTATATAAATAAGGAGCTGATTCTACAAATAATTTGTTACTGTGTGCATTCATATTTGGTGGTCAGGAATGTGCATTTGTGCTACTATTCAATATAGTGGGCACTCAAAACTAGCTAGCATAGCTAGCAATTTGTTTATGTAAAGTTAAATGAGGGAATGGAGAGAAGACAGGGTTTAAAATAAATGTCATAAAAATTTATAATCTGTCAGATGATGTTTCCAGTTCTGTGTGTACCCTCACTGTGCTATTCTCCGTGCCACATATACAGTATATATACACACAATAAATATATATATATATATATATATGTATATATTACATCATCCCAGTCACCTCAAGGAACGCATGCTATTAGTTTTCCTTTATACAGATAAGGAAATGAATGTAAAGTGAATATAATAACCAGCCAGTTCCAAGGCCAAGAAGCCGTAGAACCAGAATTCAAACCATGTTGTCTGACTTCAGTGGATACTTTCTTCAGTCATTACATGGTAGTATCTCCCATAAAAATAACCATCACTGAATCTGCCTTCACATATGGCATAGCCCAATCTGGGGCTCTGACACATTTTTTCTCCTAATAAGTTGGAGAAACTCATTTCATAATAAAAGTAAGAATGTGATAATGCTTTCCTTCTTATCTCACTCGGTAGAATATGTCTTTGGAGAGGGCAAGGTATACCTTGCTGAGTCATCTATAGCAGTTTGTGTATTGTGGGGTCTGGCAGAAGCCTCCCATATGACTACTGACTAGACTCAGTGCTGCGCATCTGAGGAGACTTCACTTGGTCACAGCTGGAAATGACATGACTGCGTTATAGAGATTGAAAATTTATTCAGTTTAATCACTGAAGTATAGCTTGCCTCTGTCTGTTATAAATAACAGGATATCATCACCGCATATGATTTTAAAATAAGACTAATTAACTATATTTCCTTTTTGTGACATTTATACTTCTTGATAAAGATAATTAAAGAGGTATATTTTCAAATATAGAAAATATGTCACAAAATATTTTTTAAAACAGCCTTATTTTATATCTATATTCAACATTGGAAGTGATGATACAATCCCATTTCTGAAGACAGATGCCCGCATATATCTCCATTCCTGGGAATGTGTTCCAGTTTCTAAAGCTTGCATTCCTATAGAAAATTATATAAAAAACTTTGAGAATTGAATACTTCCTCAGAAATGCTACTGACCCAGCAGTCTATTTTTCCTGCCTTTCTGTCAACTCTAAGTGCTTTTGTCCTGAGACTACTATAGTTTAAAAGGTAAAAGTATTCACAGAAAACAATTCAAATCGTATTTAACTAAACTTATATTCATGAACTCATAGAAATGTAATGATACCACTGAGAAGTAATAAATCTCTTCTAACTAACTTTACTTTGGTGAACTAACTTCATTATTTTTCTGGTAATGCCTATGATCCTGGGTTTTATTCCCAGCACTACAAAAATGCAGATACCTGAAATTTTTGTCATCATGGCACTACATTTACAACACCAATGACAAATACATTGTTTATGATATTATAAGATAGTATGTTTCCTAAAAATGGAAGCAATCCTATAAAATTATTATTCAAAATTGAAAGCTCATATATAGAACTATCCATTCCTTGACATCACCTTCCTTTGTTCTAGAAGTTGTTTTCATATCTTTAAATAAAACACTCAGAGAAATTTGAAATGTAGACATAATATAAGTGTATTTCAGGTATAATATTCTAGATGAATTTAACAGACATCATTTAGCAATACAAAATCCTAACATGAACTTTGACTAGAGACATTTTATACATTTATACTAGAGACATTTTGTTTGTGCATCTATATTTCATAAATGCATTAACAAAAATATGGAGACATATAAGATCAGGATTACTTATATGTTTTTTTTATCAAACATAAAAAAGTAAATGTGAATATATATGATGTCACATAAATTTTAATAAAGGAATTTGTAAACAAGCAAATATGTTCCAAAGATCATAGTTTTGCCTTAAAACATCATATGGGAAATGTTACAAATCATTCACACTCAATATTTGTTATTTTAGGAATCGTGCTATGTTTCAGAAACACACAAGACATAATCTCTGTAGATTACATCATTTAAAGAGAAAGAGAAAACAGGACAAAACAAAGAAACAGAAAATTTTTATTTATTGAAGAATACAGAGTAGTCATCACAAAAGTGTTGGGGTCAAACAAGTTTTCATATCTTGACTTTTGCATTAACTAGTTGGGTGTTTATTGAGTCACTCTTTTTTCTGAGCTTCACTTTCCTCCTTTTAAGGTATGATAATAAAAATAGCACCAAAATTATAAATTTATTGTGATGCCAAAAACATATAAAGCTTTTGGCACTTGAAATGTTTAGCACAGCCTTCAAGCCCATGATGCAAATAGGCATTTAGTAAATAATAGCTGCTATAAGCATTGTTTATTTTTGCAAAACGAAATGTGTATATGTATGCATAGCCAAATAAATGGATACATCCCAAATATTTTAGCCTACTTTGTTCTACCACAACAGCCATGAAGTCTTAATACTAGGAAGTCTTAAAAACCATGTCATAAAGTTTTAATAAAACTATTCCATGAAGTCATACTGTTAATTTTGCTATTTTAGAATTCAAAAACAGAAATAAAGCATATTTCTGTCAATGTTAAGTGAAAGGAATCTGTGGTCAGTTATTCTCCAGTGATATCACTTGGAATTATGAAGTCATCAGCATTCTTTTTCAACAAGTTACTACCTACCCACCAGCCCACCATATTCTTGATATGGCTTCCACATGGGGTGAAATATTGAATGTGGTGGGCACTGGACTGCAGCAGCTGGATTGCCAGGTAAAACAGAACCAGAATTTCTGTGTTTGGATTACGTGCACTTGTGGTAATTTTACAAAATGGGTGAGGACTGAGGAAGAGGGGACAAGGATGGCCACAAAGAGCTCCAATGAACCCCATGATGATTCCAAATAATAATTCACCCTCCCCCATAAGCCCCCAACACTCAGCAGAAACATTTTCTGGGGAAGACAGTGTGTAAACAGCTTTTTGCTGGCCAACAGCTACCAGCCCAATGTATCATTGCATAACTGGGCATGCCCTGGTATGGACCTGCTCTTAGATTGGCTGCCTGGAAACTACAGAGTACATAGTGAGATCTGCCTTCTGAGGCTTCCAATCCCATGCCCCAGCTATCTAAACCCACACAATTGTGTCTATGTTGCTCCTCTGAAAAATTATTCCTCACAGTTCGTTACTGGAAATTCTCCATATTCCTCAGGCCTTTGCCCCAACACCCCAGAATTCTTCCTCTGACTGGAAGCCTGGGACTGACTGTGTAGATGCAAATTTCCTTCATGGAGGAGGGTCTCACTTGTCTTGTGGGAACTCTTCTCCTTTCAACCAGCTCAGTGCTCTGAAGTTCAAGAGAATTCAAGGTCATAGATCATTTTTTTGGTCACCCTTAACCCCTCTACCACCACATCACACCACTGCAGCCTTCTTAAATTTCTAAGGCTACTTCTGGCCAAAGCTTGCACTACCCTACCACCACGAGCAGGGATCTAGGGGTGTGCATTTGGGAAGACACCCTTCAGCCATAAATCTATATCTATCTTTGTCTCTATCCATCTCTATGTCTATCTGTCTCTCTATCTGTCTCTCTATCTGTCTCTCTATTTCTATCTCAATCTCATCTCTATCTCTATCTCTATCCCTATCTCTATCTCTATCCATATCATCTATATCTATATATTGCTAGCAGGGAGCGGGTGTCTACCACTCAAGGGTCTCCCAGTATTAGATCAGGTGCACATTTTATTTGCGCTGTATTCACAAATGATCATGGTCAATGATTCTTCTAGGCTCTTGCTTGACTGTATTTCAAGTTTCAGATTTTATTCAAGTAGGGAATTTAAGGCTAGTTGGCTGCTGTGGTAAAGGTGCTAAGTGGCTCCTTGTGGATACTGGAAATCCTGGAGCACAATCCTCCAGGAATCTCCCCAGAGGTAATAGGATCTACTCTTACATCCCCACTGCCCCACCCAACTTTCTCCCAACCCCACCCCCAGCCCAGCACGCTCTGCCCAGCATTAGGGCACACCCACCCTCCCTCCTGCCTTTTCCACCGCCTCCTCCACTCACTCATGACCTCGCGTCATCTTCACCCCTCACAGACTTGCCTGCCTCCACTAGGTCGAACGCACTTCCTGCCCTCGCCTAAGTCTGAGGTGCCACCAGCCTAACCCTCTCTCGCCGCCACTACTCCGCTCTCTCCAGCAGCGCATTCCTCCCTCCGACCTGCCGCCATCCTTTTCATCGCTGACAGTGCAGCCAGAACTCCGTCTGCTTGGCGACCCACCGTCGCCTCCGCCCTCCTGGCTTTTGAGACCTAGCTCTCCCAGCTGACAAGGAAACATCGCTATCTCCGCTGCCTCCTCCGAGGCTAACGCCGGCGCCACGCGCTTTCGCCACCAAGGCTGCAGCACCGCCGCTGTTCTGAGGCCCATCATGGTCTCGCAGCAAACAGGTAGCAGGAAGCGGAAAGCGCCCGTTGAGGAGGCGGGCGCGGGGAGCTCCTCGTCGCAAAGCTTAGCGACAGCGGGGCAAGGAGAGGGGCTCCTGCTGCCCAAGAAGCAGAAGGGGCTGGTGGAGCGTCGCTCCGTGGTGTACTACCTGAAGGGCCGCGAGGTGTGCGCAGGGGGCTGCGCCAATCTCCGGAGCTTCGAGGGCGAGCTGCGCAGCTACGCGGTGCAGAGGCTGCCCGAGCTGCTGACCGAACGTCAGCTGGCCCTGGGCACCCTCAACAAGGTGTTCGCGTCGCAGTGGCTGAACTCCAGGCAGGTGGTGTGTGGCACCAAATGCAACACCCTCTTCGTTGTGGACGTGCAGACCGGCCGTATCACACACATCCCCTTGATGCAGGACAAGGTTCCTGTCCTGGCCCGCCCAGAGATGCCCTCAGGCATCCATGCCATCGAGCTGAATCCCTCCAAGACGCTGCTGGCCACCGGGGGCGAAAACCCCAACAGCCTAGCAGTCTACCAGCTGCCCACCCTAGACCCTGTGTGCCTGGGCGACCAACATGGCCACAAGGACTGGATCTTTTCCATTGCATGGATGAATGACACTGTGGCCGTGAGTGGCTCTCGGGATGGCACCATGGCATTGTGGCAAGTGGATCCTGACATGTTCAGTGGCAGTACTGCCTGGCACAAGGGCGGGCAACTTCCAGCTTATGCCCACATCAGTCCGAGAGACATTGAGGTGATTCCCAGAGCCAGCAGCAACCCTGGTAATCGGAAAGTACGAGCCCTGGCATTCAGTAGCAGGAACCAGGAGCTGGGAGCTGTGTCCTTGGATGGTTACTTTCACCTGTGGAAAGCGCAGAACAATCTGTTCAGGTTGTTATCCATCAGGCTGCCCTACTGTCGAGAGAACGTGTGCTTGACCTACTGTGATGAGCTAGCCCTGTATGCCGTCGGCTCCCAATCACATGTGTCCTTTCTGGATCCACGCCAGCGTCAGCAGAACATCCGGCCCCTGTGCTCCCGAGAGGGTGGCACAGGTGTGCGCTCGCTGAGCTTCTACCAGTACATTGTGACGGTGGGCACAGGTCATAGCTCCATACTCTTCTATGACATCCGTGCACAGAAATTCCTGGAGGAGAAGTCTGTTCCCAGCTTGGATTCCTTTCCTGGGCCTGCAGGGAGGAAACTCAAACTCATCTGTGGCAGAGGCTGGCTCAACCATGATGACCTCTGGATGAATTACTTTGGTGGCATTGAGGAGTTCCCCAACGCACTCTACACCCACTGTTACAACTGGCCTGAGATGAAGCTGTTTGTTGCAGGAGGTCCTCTCCCTTCTGGCCTCCATGGGAACTATGCAGGCCTCTGGAGCTGAGGATCCTGACCTCATTTTCAAAGTGAACAAATTTGTCTTTCATTTCAGTTTAAATTTCTTCACTTTTAAGTTAGGCTTGTAACTCTGTGTGTCTTTTGTGTTCCAGGTGGCATTGTCTTAACCTACCTGTTCTTAGTGTGTTAGGCATTGACATAGTCAGAAAGGGACACAGAAAGACAGTGAACAGAGCTGGTACTTTTGGCAGTAAAAATTTGACTTTAAATCCAGTCCTAGTGATGCAAGTCTATAATCCCAGTACTCTAGGAGCCCGAGGCAGGAGGATCCCAAATTCAAATCCTGTGCAATTTAACAATTTAACTAGACTCTGTTTTAAAATTAGAGTTGTGGATGTAGTTCAGTGTGAAAGCCCTAGATTCAATCCCCTAGTACTAGGAAAAACAAAACAAACAAAGACTTTTCTGAACCTTCCCCCAAAGCACTATGTTTTTGACTTCTTCAAATAATTTCAGTTAGATCTTAAAATGAGCTTCCTTTTGAAAGATTCGTATATCCTCTTTCTTTAGCCTAATGCAGTCTTTCATCACATTATAATTTAGTACCTCAGTTTTACCTGTATTTCAATTGTATGTTCAAATATTTTACACATTTTAGATGTATGAGATTTTTGGAAAATGTGTGCTAAAAACGTCTTTTATGGTTGATCTAAGGAACAATACGTTGCTTATAGCCCTAATGTAGTTCAAATTCTAGATCACTAACATTTGTTGTACATTTTTTTTTAAATGTTGGGAACTAGGTATTTTGTGGGTACATAGAAAGCTTTACAATTATATTCTCTAGTTAAAGAATTTTATCATATTGTTCATAATTTTAATTAACAATTTTGATTATTGGATAGAATTTGAGAATCATTATCCCCAGACACTCACACTTCTTTATTAAAGGTTCTAGATTAGGGCCTGCTTTCCTGGGTAGCACTTATGCTACAGATTTTCAGAGCTAATGCAAACTGGCATATAGGCAGCAGGGCACACAGGAAGGTATTTGGGGGAGTAAACATTTCTTTAAAGTTCAAGTAACACCAACCAGATAACTATTTACTGTGAAAGGCCAGCACTTGTGCTTGCAGTTGAGTTTGCTGTTTTTGAATTGAATATATGGACAATTCTTTCATGTGAATTAATTATGATTATGGGATATGTTGCACAAAATTGTGTCCAGTATCTTAGTAATTGAGAATGAGACTATAAAGCTTTTGAATGGTTAAATATATTCTTTATTTTTGTAATTGTCCTAGAAATGTATTTATAAAAGTCACAATTTTCCAGTAGAGAAAATGGAGCTGAAACATCAGCTATGCACACATTACCTTGTATATTTTGTTTTGAAAGGGAAACATGTTTGTAGGTCAAAGAATTAAGCAGTATCTTGAGCACTTCATTTAAAAATATCTAGGTATAAGCTAGGATGGTTAGGTGTGTTTTTAAAAATTATTTAGCTTTTTTTGTATTTGCACAAATGTACATGTAAGTACTTAAATATGCAGTGTGTATATGTTTTTGTCAATTTCAATATGAGAAGGCAAAGATGTGTATCATTTTACATATGCAACTATTTCTAACATTTTAAACTATATCAATTCTTACCTCTTGGTCTTTTGTTTATATCAATTTAAACTAATTAACATATGTGTATAATAAAAATAAAGCATACCTTATCAAAGATGTACAGCGAAAAGTAAGTTTCACTCACCACCAACTTTAGCCTTTTGCCTTACAACATCATCAGTATATTTTGAGTGTGTAGCTATTTAGAGATAGTTCATACATAGCTAAGGATATATGTACATATATATAATTTGCACACAAATGATAACATAAACCTTACATATCTATGCCCTTTTAGTCACAAAATCCTGGCATTATGTCTTAAACATCCCTAGTTAAATCATTTTTATTGCATAATATCCCACTATATGGTTGGAATATATATTTACTTATTATATTTCTGATGACCATTGTTGTTGGTGCTTATTTTATTTTTGTACGTTCTGCAATGATTATTTAGGTGAATGCATTTTTACACATATGGGGAAGTGTATCTGCAGGACAAATTCTTTTATTTTTGTTTTTTGTTTTTTTTTCCAGTACCAGGAATCGAACTCATGACCTTGCACTTGCCAGGCAGGTGCTGTGCTGCTGAGCTAAATCCCCAGCCCCTCTGGGGGACAAATTTTTACAAATGGAATTTCTAGATGAATAAGTACATCTTATATCAAATAGCTGTTGGCAAATCACCTGCCAGAGAATTCCTACAAATTTTACCTCCTATAATAATGTATGCTCATCTTCTTTACCACAACCTTGCCAACAAAATATCATGAAATTCTGTACCTTTTGCCAATCTGATAGCCTCCTAATCTTGGTCCTTTGTTTCTAAGCTCCCATGGCTGAGTTAATTAAATCTGCAGTCAGAGTAACAAGTAAGCTCTGAAACAAGCATTTTAAAAAATGAGGAAGCAAGGATAAGCAATAAAAATACTGTCAAGCCAAAGTAAAATTTAGACTCACACATCTAGAAACACATTATACTAGACTAATTTTCTTACTTGGCTGGAACTAGGAGGATTTCCAAGAAGGAGGTGTTGAGAGTCTGCACCAGAATATTGAGGTAAATGTGGAGAGGGAGAGAAAGTCAATAGAAAAATTGAGGAAGCGTAAGATAAACAAATACTACTTGGTATTTCATCTGAAGGGTGAGAAAAACTAAAGCATTATGTGGGCTCTCAGGTTCTGATTGAATATAAATAAACAGTAGAAGTAAATAAATAAATGGTCATGGAAGATACAGGTTCAAAATGACCAGTCACATTTGGGACATGTTGAATTTCAGTTGCCAGTGTGACATTAGGAAAACATATCCAGTGAAGAATTGGCCTTATATCCCATTTATGCATTTTCTCACTGCTAAGAAAGGGAGTAGTATAACACAATAGGGAAAACAGAGCACCCAATCTAATATAGGTTAGTTCTCACAGTCCCCCAAAAGTATGTGTTTAAAGGTGAGGTTTCTAGAAAGTGGTTGGATCACTGGGGCATTATGGGTTATTCCACTGATGATTTTACAGCTGACTGTGTTATTAGGAAAAGCATATATAAAGGTGAGGCCCAAAAAACGTATGGTTCCTCAAAAACAATGACGTTAAAAACCGAGATGCCTGGCATGGTAGAGTATGTCTGTAATCCCATTGTTATCAGAATTTGGAGTGCTAGACTTTGCTTCTAGAAGTGGTTTTTAGATTCTCTCTGTTCTGAACAAAGAATTGGTCAAGACAAGCAAAAAAAAAAAAAAAAAGGCTAAGTTTTTATATTTCCTGTATGTACAAAAAGAAAAAGCCAGGTATGGTGGCACATGCCTGTAATCTCAAGGATTTGAGAGGCTAAGGCAGGAGGATCATTGTGAGTTCGAGACCAGCCTGGGCTATAAACTGAGCTCAAGACCAGCCTGAACCACATAGCAAAATCCTTTCTCAAAACAACAAAAAACCAAAAACAAAGAAAAGAAACTTACTCTGTCCAACAAGTTCAGGTCAACTAAAAGTAAGAAAAGTATACTCTACAGGGGGAGAGTGAACCACTGTGGAAGGATGAGAACACTGGCTCTGAGTAAAATGGCAGCCATTTTTGTATCTCCCACTCCTCAGGCTAATGTCAAATCTAGACTATCCTATGAAAAAGCTATTTTGGTTCTTGCAAGGAGAATGGAAGACAGCACTCTCTGCTTTGTTCTAAATTCAGGGCTTTGAGAACTATACTGCTTGTGTGCATTGGAATTTTGTGATTGGTAGGTCATACCCACTTCCCCAGGCAGTTTGTCACACCATAATTTCCTGCTTCATCGATACTCTGGATAGCCAAGGCAGGAAGATCAGAAGTTTGTGCAATTTAACAGTTTGCTGAGGCCCTGTCTCAAAAAAAAAAAAAAATGTGGGGGGATGTAGCTCAGTATGATGCTCCTGTGTTCAACCCCCAGGACTGAGAGAAAAAAAAATGGCAAGTACTTCGCACGAGGACAATAAGATGATTTGAAAGCATCTCAGGAGTGGATCAGATGACACCCATCAACAAGACTGTAAAAGGATAATTTCTTTTTAGAAAAACATTTGCTTTAAGAAGAGCGGTTCAGGGCACCCTGCTCACTCGGGACTGCCTAGAGAAGTGAATCCAGGAGTTCAGGCATTCAGGCTCTCAGAGGCTCTATTGCAGCTATGGTTCACAAGAGCCAGAAAATTGCAGATATACAGTAACAATTAGGAAAGACAGCACAATACTAAGTATAAGCATTTCAAAAGGAAACTGTTATTGCAGATGATAATGCTAAAAACAAAAACAAAGACTCCAAAAATATAGAAAAAAAATTGAGGAACAGTAACAGATGTTCTCTTTTGAAATTAACATATTAGAAACCAATCTTTTCTATTTCATGTCTTTATTCCTTCAGCAAAAACATTACTGAATGTGTGCCATATATCACACAATGTTCTAAGCAATAGAGGCAATGTGGTGCATAAGACAAGCAAGTCCTGCCCTTGTTATGTTACAGCATAGAGGTTGTGGTTTCACAAATATTCGGAAAAGAAGTTGCAAACCAAAAGAAGATGTTAGGAGAGTTTTTCTTTGAAATAATAATAAAAGGAAGAGCTCCCAGATTTTCAGGAGGGCTCCCACGTGGGCAGCCAATCCAGAGCTAGTCGAAGATTAACAGAGCACAGGAATTGTTTAGTTATCACCTATCACAGGTGTCTCTGTGGATCTAAAATGACCAACTGGAACTCACACTTTCTGATATAGTTCTTCAACATGTAGTAGGGCTTACGGGAAACAATTTTTAGAGAAAACTTTGTTATTTTGCATTTTGAGTTCCTCAAAACTCAAGCATTGAGTAGGGAGTAGTTGCAACTTCCTTTAGTAGGGAGGAGTTACATCCCATATTGCCTGAGGAAGTTCATTCTTGGTTCAAATTCCTAGCTCACTAGTTTTATTTTAATTCCTATCAGTATGGCTGATTGACCAACTCTACCTTAAACCCTTTCCCTAGGTAGCTACCTTACTCAAAAACTAAAAAATTAACTATTTTCTACAATAAGACAGGCCACTAAGAAAGATAGAGAGAAAAAATACATAAATTATTAAATGTATAGCATATCAGATTTTCTACTACTAATATATAAAATAAATAAGTGTAAAACAGAGCAGTAATTTACATGGAGATACTATTTTAGATAAACTCTTTAGAGAAAATTGGGTGTTATTGGGTAGTTTGTTTCTAGAAAGTCGGTTACAAACTAAA